GCAATGAGCTCACTCAGTCTGCTAGTGTCGTCCTCATCCTCGTCCCCCTCATCAGACAACACAATCGGTGATTGAACGGTGCGACTAGCTCGCGATCCATGCTCATCTAACTTCTTTTCCTCATACCTTGCACGAGCCACCTCTGCGGCATGATCCTCGCTGCAACCAATCCCTTCATGTATAAAATGCAATCAGTTAGCAACGCGATTATATTACATTTAAAATCAGGCAACGAAAAAAAGACGTTCAAGCACTCACTGGCACATAATGCAGCAACATGCTCGTTCAAGACCTGCATCTGTACTCTTGTCTCCTCCCTTGCCTCCTTTCTTGCCCTCTCCTCCTCTAACGTCATCCGCCTCTCCAATCCCCATTTGTTAAGCCCAACATCGATCGGGTTACAAATACCACGCTGTCTAGCAAACTCACGCATCTTTTCTTTGTGATGTTTAACGAATAGGTTGACGTAGTCATGTCCATATCCCCTCTTCCGTGCAATTAGTTGCCTCTTCTTCAGTTCATCCAAGAACTGAGCTTGATCATCGTAACGTTCCCATCTACATTTCCTAGTGCTCTGTTCAAAAGAAATATTATATCATATATGTCTTATCAAAAGAAACAAAATGTGATTTCATGTTTACCACAAAAATAACGAACCTCTTCGTACTGAACCATATGGCCGCAATAATGGCCTATTCCAAGCTTCGAAGGGACTAGGCCATAGTTTGAATTAACATCACATTTGCACTTGACTGGTGGTGCTTTGTAAATTAACCTTTTTTCTTCTTTTGTTTTGCTTTTGGAGGTTCTTCGGGCCATTTGTTATTAGGACCATACAACCACTCCTTGAAACGACACTTCGACATTGAATGCACCTAAATAACGTGACATTAGTACATGAACACATATAGCTAAAGATTTCAACACATACACTTTGCACTTACTTCATGCTTGTTTGGACACACAAACTCCAACGTATTGTCAGGGTTTATCACAGCTCGATCTCCGCAATAGCACCAAGGAGGTTCCTCGAGTCGTCTAACTGCAGCTAGGTGCTTCTCCTTAGCCGTCATTGGTGGAGGGTTAGGGGGGTGGAACCCACCGCTTGAAGCGCTCACGGGGATTTCTCCCCTAAACCAATCGTCAAAAAGGAGTTACCTAGGATCAAACTTGTCTACACCGTCGATCCACTGAAAGAAAAAACACCTCTCATGGCCCTACAAAACAAAAATTCAACAAAATATTAGTAATCTCGTAATACAAATGAAGAAGAAAAAGATAGTAGAAACAATTACTTACATTAAAACAACTGCACGTGTAGAAGCAACGAGCCGCTATGTCGGGATGTCTCGATTGAAACACGTCAGTCGGACGACCACAGTCACAATTAGGGATAGGGAGCTCAGGAGGGACGGGGGCATCTTTGCTAGACTCGTCTGGATACATTTCTCTAGGACGACCCCGTTTTCGCCATAACTGCTCCCGAAACATGTCTTCCATCTAATAAAACGGTTCAAAATAAACATAAGTCAAAACAACGCAAATTAATAAAAAATGTAATCATTCACAATGGAACTAAAATATTATAAACAATAATTATACCAACAAAAAAATACATGGCAAACATACTTCTAACTAAATAATTAACCTTAACATTGACAAACTCAAACTTATATCTTCACCATAGTTCATAAATATAATTTTTCTGCTAACCTTAACTCCATTTATAATATCATATCCACCATTCAAACGAAAATAAAACGTGCGTAAGAACCTTAAACGGGATGGAGGCGGCCGGAGAATGGAACGGAAGGGAGGGAGGCGGCAATGGAGGGCCGGCAGTTGGGGCTGCCACCGTTTGTGGCGCGGCAGCCGGCGTGGTTAGCGACGGGCGGCCGCGGTGGCGACAGACGGGCGCGGGAGCGACGCCTACGCGGCCTTGCTGCTCGGGCAGCGGGACTGGCGGCGCGGTGGTTATATTCGGCTCTGCCGCGCCACGGATCAGGTCGTGCCAAGATTGGTGGCGCGGCAGAGCCTTTCCACTTCAGCGGTCAGCGGTGATGGTCGCCGCCACATCAGGCCTCTGCCGCGCCGCCGTATATGGCGCGGCACAGACATTTGGCCGCGCCAGGGCAAAAGACGTGGCCAAAAGTGTTAGTTAAAAAAACAACAGTGTTAGATTTAAAATTATATTAAAAAAAGGGTTAAAATTAAAAAAAAATCTCCAAGAACACCGCCGCACAGGCACGGCGATCAGCGCCTGGCGAGCCGCTGCCATCTCCGCGATGGTCGACGACGTCGTCGTCGCCCCGCCGCCTGAGAGTAGGCCCAGGGCCTGCGGGCGGAAGCGGCACATGGCCAACGCCCGCGGATACAAATAGGACGGGCGCAGGCTCGGGCGCTCGGCCAGGGTGAGTGCGGCATCGTCGTCACGGCACGGCACCGCGCCACGGGCCAGGCCGTCGCCGTCAAGTCCCTGCACCGCAGGAGCTGGGCCGCCGACGTCCTGCGCGAGACCTGCTTCGTGGCGGCCGGCGGGGGCCACCCCTCGCTCGTCGCGTTCCGCATGGCAGACCGCGGGGAACGGCCGTACCCGGAGGCCGAGGCGGGACGCATCATGCGGCAGCTGCTGGCCGGCGCCGAGGTGATGCACCGGCACGGCTGATCGTATTGTTCACAAGAAGAGCATGACTGATACGTCCCGACAGAAAAACATAAAAAAGAAAAGAAAAAAAGAACTGCAAAATCATTCGTTGCATGGTTGTGCAATCAAGAAAGATTACCAGAATATAACCTAAAATAATAAGAAAGATCTCAGTTTGCATATATTAGCAACTTAGATCACATTCAAAATAGTCAAAGCACGTATACTTGGTGTGTCTTCGATAGAACGAAGCCTGAAGAGCTGAAACGTTTAGATATCTTTAATTCCAAGCAATAGAGAGTCTCAATGCCATGGTGACAGGGAACGTAAAATATAGCTGGTTCTAGCGAGGATAAACACTAATCATGAGGTCTCACAAATTACTGAGAGTACTCTGTGTTGGAAGAGCCAATGATTGCGACTTCAGCCTCAATGCAACACTTGCCTTTGATGAGATAACCTTTTGATGCGTCCTTCAAATCCTCCAGCGAAATGAACTTATCCCATCCCCAGTGTAACACCCCAGGCCCGGTACACGGCCCAGGCCCACTCTACCGAGGGGGTGGGCCCCACTTACGTAGTAACCCGCTTGCGTTTTCATCCTTGCTTCACGCAAAACGGTTAACCTAATATTACTACGCGTCCTTAGCCTGGCTATTTAAGTTGGTTCGGCGAACTCAAAATCCGCAGTATGGTTGTAAATTTTTTGGTTGCACAATGTGTCCGCAGCTACAGTACTCGGCGCTGCCGTACCCAAATTCAGCCCATCCCGATTCGTCGCTATAGCTACAGTAGCCCAGCCCAGCCGCAATTGCTCGAGAACCGGGCACTGTCTGTATCTCACAACAAAAATAAGTTAAGATTATGTGATGATAATTTGGCATCCGGACTAACCAGTCCATCAAGAAAAATTTTGCTAAAATGTGAACCTGTTAATTTCCAGTCGTTGCCGTTTTCCTGGTTTTTGATGGATAAAGTAAGTTCCACCAGGTTCCCAGAGTCTTTGCGGAGGTCATTTGTCTTGTTCATTCCCAGAAATAAGGACATGTGGTTACCATCACGAGATGGATACATACGGATTAACCTGCAAATTTGACAGCATCATAGAATCAAGTTAATAATGTGTAAAACTATTATATTTGTGTTTACGTAAATTTTCAAAACTTCTGTGGTATAGAGCCATTCTTAGCATTTTAAGAAAGTTCAGATTATGTTATCAACATCAGTCATGTATACATGTCAAGTATTGCAAGCTGAAGAGGTTATCACCATGTGTATCCACCGATTTCTAACTCTGGTGAGTAGGATGTGTTCTTCAGAGCAAAGAAATCCTCAATTTTCCAAGTGTAAACTTTGGCCTCGTTGAAGACGTTCATCTTCCTGACAAACAGTGTTTCTAACATCGTGTTGGCTTTGATAGTGGCAACTTTGATTAATTCAATACCAAATACGCAGCTGTTGTCGACAAGAAATGCGGAGGACTGTTCGTCTAGTGTTTTCAGGGGTAACATGCACGAGATGCCAGAGGTCGTACTTGCAGTCTGGAAGCTGTGGTTAACTACAGAATAAAAAATATTCCAAGCATACATATTTTCTTCATAGAAAGGTACTTAATTACCACCACAAGATATGGCTTAAGACGGAATGAAAAAACATTGTTTCCAGAGTAAAACTAAATGGAGACATGAAACCAAATAGAAGGTTTTATAAAAACAAACAAGCATTAAAGATCGTAAGTTATAGTTGGCAGTTTCAAATGACCATTTGGGCAGATGAGTGTAAAACTATAATCAATTCTCGGAAAAAAACATTAAAAGTTTACAAGTTATATCTGACAACGTAACTAGGAAGATTTTGAGTCAATGTGCGTAATGCATCAGTTATTTCCATCAGATATAATCAATTCTCAGTGTGAGTAATTTGCTACTTTACCTAGCTGCTCCCTATGCTTTCCGTTGGACTGATCATATATCATGAACTTGAAAGATGCCTCAACGACAGTGTCTGCGCCAGTTGAAGCTTGAGAGAGACATACTCCTCATCATTGATCGTTTTGTACTTTGGATTCAGTTTTAGATACCTGCAAATGAGCCAAAACAGAGCCTGTTCATGAGATGAATGACTTGCTGGCCATGTTTTCTAGTTTAAAAGTTCTTACATAAACCTATGAAAACCCTTTACATGTTGGGGAAGATGTACAAAGAAGGCATTTCATTATTGGCTAGACTTCTGAAGTCATTAAGTTTTTCAGGCATGATATATATGAGCCAAGTAAACATTGAATAGTTCTGGCTGTAAGAAGTAAGAACAATGCAATTTTAACCAAAGAGAGAAAAAGGGCAACATCTAACCATACCATTTTACGCCCATGATCTCAAATACTGTGGATTGTGTCCATCCTTGATCCTTGTCAAGAAGCGAGGAGAAACCATCAATGACCCACTTGAAGGATGTCTGCTCCCGTGGAGAAGGTGTGGCATTGGACGTTGTCTTGGCATTGAACGTTGTCTGCTCTCCTGGGGAAGGTGTGCCATTGGACGTTGTCTTAGCATTGGAGGTTGTCTGCTCCCCTGGAGAACCTGGAGGAGGTGTGGCATTGGCCAGACATGGGTTTGACCGGCCTGGAAACAATAACAGGCACAATAGTAAGAAAGATCAGAACAAGAGCAAAAACCACTAGTGAAATCTTAAAGAAAAATCTCAAAAATGCGAGAAGAAGTGATTGTTGCTCGTGTGATCCGTAGCAAGTACCAAGTATGCTGACCTATTCGGCTGGTATTAAAGCTGGCTGATAAGCCGGCTGAAGCTGATTCGTTGTGAGGCTGTAGACTAGCTAAGCCAGCTGATAAGTTCAAGCGAATAACCCCAAATGGTACAGTAATGATTAACAAATGGTCTAGCGCATTGAGGAGAGCAGTAAATCAGTCCGTACCAGCACCTTTGGCGCAAGAGTTGCCCATGGTTCAACCACTCCCTCTTCCCAGCAATCCTCTGCAATTGAGATCAATCCTAATGCCATCAGCAAATAACGAAGGCTGCGTTGTTAAGAACTTCGAGAAATCTTTCATATTAGCAGGAAACAAAATTAAGGGTCTCAATTTCAAAGAACGGCCAAACCCCACCGCACGAACAGGTAGATGAAAAGAGAAATCCAGGAACTCTTGCAACCGTGCAGCCCACGATCGCCGACGCCGTACACGCGCTACGAAAAAGGAACAAGCTTTCCTACGGATTGTGTGAGATTAGAAGACTGGAAGAGCTGCGACAAGAAGATGGAGAGACAGAGATCACCTCGAGATGCTTTCTCGGCGAAGAAACCCTCACCGCAGATGGGGTTTTGTACGGAGCTGTGCAGGGGAAAGGTGAAGCCGGGGGCTGCGCGACACGAGGAGGGTTTTGTGGACACGAGCACGGGGAGGGGATGCCTCTCCACAAACATAAACTGGACGCAAAATTCATCGGATCCTAACTTACGTGAAGGTGTCATCTAACCAAATTCCTTATTTAGCGCCGAAACATAAAAGTTCCCAATAAAACACTGTTTTTTATTCTCCAAAAAGTAGCAACACCATTATATGTGACCTCTAACGCCGTCAATTTGGTGGAGAAAATATTGTTTTGCCCTTATTATTTTTTGGTGTGACACCAACGTTACGTTAAAGTGATTTTCTTAACAAATTTTTTAAACGTGCCATTTTTTTACATTGAATATATTTTTACAGTATATAATATTTTTACATTGAACATTTTTTTTGCAGATAATTTATGAATTATGATACAATTTTTTGGACAATGTACTATACATGAAAAACAAGGGCACAACAGTTTTTTCCCTCCAAGTTAACAGTGATAGAGGTTAGATCTAATGACTATGCTATTTAGGGAACCAAAAATAAAGTCAGTCATGTATTGGAGAATTTTATTTTCATTGCTAAATAAGGAATTGTATCATTTTTCTAATGCTAAGCAAGGAATTTTCTCTTACAACAGTGTCACTTGTGTCCTCAACTCTTGGTTTTTTATGTTTGGCTCCTAAATTTTTGTACAAGGGTATAATCTAGCCTGAAACTTATACATCACACACAATTAGTATACCGTATCAGTGTCATATATGGATGGATGTCAAGTTTGGAGACCTAGATAACATCGTTGTACTAGTTTAGGATCTCGATATCAAAATTTAAGACTTAAGGACATGAGTAACACCATCGTATAAGTTCGAGGACTAAAATATTAAATTTTAAGGGTTAGAGTTCTATATGACACCGTTGTTCAAGTTTAGGAACCACTCGTGAATTTTACGCTAAAGCTAGGATCAAGCAAAATCTAGTGTGATATTCTTTTTAGAGAAGATTCTTTGTATGATAAGTTGATATGCTTTCTTAAATGGCTGGTTTTGACAATTTTTTTCTCCGCACATCGGCGGTTGTACCATTAGATACAAATATACAATATTGGTTGCACATTCAGCACCTCCTATTCTCGACTTCCCCTCGGCAACTATTAACGATGAGATCAATGATCTAAAGTAAATGTACTCGTTGAGAGTGTCGAGGAGCATCACTCCCTTTGCAGATAATGACCACAACTTGGTCGTGCGCCAATGAAAATCGATGCCTACAACGGTGATCTTGTCGTCACAATCACCGAAATCATCACAGGTAATAAGATCTCAACCAAAAATTATTTGATTTCGTTGGTAAATTTATCTTGACTAAAACTAAACGAATTACTGAATTAAATCTAAAGAACTTGTTGTAGATATAAGAGAAAAGGAAAGAGAGGGAACTAGACGACGGTGGCGGCGGCGCGGAGAAAAAGGACGCTGCTTTCTAGTTATGCTTATATATATACCACGAGGTCCAAATCTTCTTTAGAACAAACATGCGTTAAATCTTTAGGATGGAATTACCTTTAGAAATACGGCGGCTTCGTAATATCAGCTCTAAACCTCTGCTCTATTTTTGACTCGTAAGATTAGTCAATCGGCAGGCAATGTCATATCTGCAAGTCCGACGGAACAAGCAAGACTAGACTACGTGCGGATTTTCGAGTCCGGTCACCAATCGGTTCATTTCCTCTCCTCCATATAAATCCCCCTGAGTCTCCCTCCGGTGATCACCAAACTTCTCATCTAAATCCTCGATCGATCGCCGTGTCAACCGCCAGGCAAGCTGAGACCGTCTCCAGCTCACTCCATGGCCAACCCAGACCCCACGCAGATGACCTCGGTGGCCGCCCGGGTCGCGGCGCTCTGCGACGTCATCCAAGAACACCGCCGCACCGGGACGGCGATCAGCGGCAGGCGAGCCGCAGCCATCTCGGCGATGGTCGTCGACGACGCCGCCGCCACCGCCGCCGAGGGTAGGCCCAGGGCCTGCAGGCGGAAGCGGCGCATGGCCAACGCCCGCGGGTACAAGCAGGAGGGGCGCAGGGTCGGCCAGGGCGAGCGCGGAGTCGTCGTCAGGGCGCGCCACCGCGCCACGGGCCAGGCCGTCGCCGTCAAGTCCCTCCACCGCAGGAGCGGCGGGAGCTGCGCCGCCGACGTCCTGTCCGAGGCCTGCTTCACGGCGGCCGGCGGGGGCCACCCGTCGCTCGTCGCGTTCCGCACCGTCGCGCGCGCGCCGGGCACCACGGATTACTCCATCGTCATGGACTACGTCGGGCCGAGCCTCAGGGCCGTCATGGCAGACCGCGGCGGACGGCCGTTCCCGGAGGCCGTGGCGCGCCGAGTCATGCGGCAGCTGCTGGCCGGCGCCGAGGCGATGCACCGGCACGGCGTCGTCCACCGAGACATCAAGCCTGACAACATCCTCGTGGGCGACGGCGGCGGCGCCGTCAAGATCTGCAACTACGGGGTGGCCAAGTCTGTGGCCGAGAAGAACCCGCCGCAGGCCTTCGCTGGAACCATGGCGTACATGGCGCCGGAGGTGCTGGTGAAGAACGCCGACCACGACACGCTCGCGGACGTGTGGTCGCTCGGCTGCGTCATGGTGGAGATCCTCACCGGCAAGCCACCGTTCGCAGTCGCAGCGAAGGACGAGGACGACGAGGCCAAGCAGCTCTTCAAGATCTTCGACGTGCTCGGCGTGCCGTGCAAGAGGGCGTGGCAGGCCCTCAAGCCCCAGGTACATGACGACAAGGTGCAGGTGTGGCGAGCGCGGCAGCTGCGAGACCGTCACGGCAGCAGCCGCAACCGGCTGCGTGAGCTGGTCTCGGAGGAGAACCTGTCGGGGGACGGATTCCAGGTCCTAAAAGGGCTCTTGACTTGTGATCCCGAGAAGCGGCTGACGGCGGCCGCCGCGCTCCAGTGCCCGTGGTTCACAGACAATGTTGACGACGCTGTTGCTTCGGAGAGGACGACCGCGGTTACCATGATCGCTGCCGTGGTCAGCAACCCGTGGTCACTGGCCACGTCATTCGTTAGGCGTGCTCTAGGATTGCTGCAGTGATTGTCCTGTGCATGTGATGAGCCAAATAGAATCATCCATGTGACGATTAGCTGCTGTCGTCGATGTTTTTTTAAAAAAAGTTTATCAACGCAACTCTTATCAACAGAGCGTGTTTTGTTCAGGGTTTTCAATTTCGGTATTAGAAAAAAAAAATCACCCCAAAATAAACTAAATTCACGAATTTCGGCCGAAATTTTTTTAGAGGCTTACACATGAAATATGCTTTTTTCTAAAAAAAATAGATCAAAACAAATATTAGCATTCTTGAAGAATATGTAACATAAACAATAGATACTATCAGTCTAGAGTTATATATAGCAAATTTATTAGTGTATTATAATTTTTTTAATTTTGTATCGGCCACCACCGAAATTACCGAAATTCATGAAATTTCGTTGAAATTTTGAACCCTGGTTTTGTTTGGGTAGTGGACCCGTGCGAATCATCCGAACATGTGTCCGAGCCTAGACACAACGTTTGATTTGCCCCATGGAGCCAACTCGTCCATCACCGGATGATTCCATCAAGTCAATATCGGATCCTAGCAGTAGTGAATCCATGCCGGACATGCTAATTCTGGACGTGACGACTCCCCGAATCAAACACGTTGTAAATGTGCCTTCCATCAACTAATGGCTGTTCTTTCTTGTGAACGTGATTACATAAAAATGCACCAACACAAACGACTTCTGATTTTTTTATAGCCCTGAACTTCGGACATCGGATCAGTCTATCCCACATCCCACATCCAATGGACCCTCTTCTTCTTAACCCAACCTTCTACGGTATACAATCCTAATTTCGTGGGCCACGCGTTATGAAATTTGAAAGGACAGCAATGAAACATCCAATGGAAGTTCAATGGAGGTTGCAACTTGCAACTGCAAGACAATGCCCCCTAGTGTAGTGCCGTTGTTTTTAGATAGAGGGTAATTTTGTGTTTAAAATTCGGCAGTGCCGGTGCTACACTGTTGTAGATTGTAGTAAAATTGACTTTATCCAAAGTTCAAAACAAATACATGTGCTTTGAGATTAGGCTGAGGTCTTTCACCATGAACTTGGAGCTGCTCCTCATTTTGCAAAGCTTGGTAATGATGACACATGGAAGGCTCCTGTCATTTATTGTCATAGCTGTAGACAATGTAGGTTTTAGAATGGGGTTCGCATAGTTTTCAAGCCCGGTTCCCCTCGTAAACTGGACCAACTCTCTTCTTCTTATTCATGCATGCCGAAAATTCTTGATCTTTCAAAAAAAAAACAAATACATGTAAGTAGTTGCAACAGAGAAATTTGTAGACTGAAACTGAGGTTGCAATCAAAACAAAAATGTCGGGTGATGTGGCCACCTATGATATTTGGAACTAGGAAGTTATCTATTCTTTGCGTCATTTGATGGCTTGTTATTTTAAGAATTGAGTTATGAGTCAAATTTGCTACGCAAACTCATTCTAGTTGTAATGGTGTGATTCTTGTAATAAGGTGGTCTGATTCCTATCTTTAGAGGATGAAGCCAGATATCTTTCCATTCTTCTGGGGCATGCTATATAGTTCTAACCTCCAATCCACAACAAACCGCACACAGGGCAGATCCAACGTGGAGGTTGAGGGCTCCAATTAACTCCCCTACCCCCCATGTTGTCCATGAAGCCTCCTCTAAATTTTGTAGCCACGGATAAAAAAAAAAAGGAGGAAGGAGAAAGAAGAAGAGACAGTGGAGAGGGAGAAAGAAGACGAGGAAGATGAGCCCTCTCTCTCAAAAGTCCATGTGATTTTGTCAAGGAACACCTGTCTTAAAAAAAATGAGTGAAGGAAGCTACAATTCACAGATACATGTTCTATACTCCGTAGAATGGTATGGCATCAAACAGATGAGCAAACTTTCATAGAAGAAACTGAACTAAATCTTAATCAATTCCACTTTAGACTCAAAGTTGTATCCTTAGAGGGGTGAAAATACTACCCTTCATCTGAAAACAAAAGCTAAACCCAAGAACTGATATCTATCTTTTTTAGATAGATAGAAATACTCAATATATCTTCGGTTCTAGATGGGACCGTGGGTTTGTTAGCTAGGAGTTGGAGCAATGCGTTGGGGAGCATAATCCAACGAATAAGTGGCGCCATGTTAATTAGCTACGAAGGAGATAAATTAGACTACGTTGATAGTTCAGAGGATGAACTAGACTTTATAAAAAATATTTTTAAATTATCTGACGTGTCCATAAAGATTCATACAGTTTTAAGCTAGGCACCATAAGATAGAGCATAATTTTTAAAAAAAAATAAAACTATTTTTTATTTTTTTAGGTAAAACAATTCTCTTAAATTCTCTAAGATCAAACTAGATTTTATGATTTTTAATTGCATTAAATGTAAAATTATTTAGATAAATTTATGAATTTCTATGGTTTTCGTTAGAAAAATATTTCTAGCCTGATTTACCCTCGGATGAGTTTTATAGTTTAGAGAGAAAATTGGAGGAAAAACTCCACATTACCTATTCAACTTTTGCGAAAGTCTGCTTTGCCTCCCTGAACTCTAAAATCGGGTAAACCACCTCCCTAAACTTTTAAAACCGTTCGTTTTACCTCCCTGACCGGTTATAAGCGGTTTTCAAAGGCGGTTTTGTCTTTGTCTTTTTTCTTTATTTCAGCTGAATCTTTGAAAAATCATAGTAAATCATAGAAAAATCATAAAATAGAAAAACCAATTTTGTTGGACTCCACATGGTGAAATTTTTATGGTGGGATAATTATTGTATGCTTGAACCGTAGTAAAAATTTCATACTCATTGGATCATGTATAACTTAGTTATAGATTTATTTAGGTGTCTGCTTAAATAAATCTATAACTAAGTTATACATGATCCAATGATTATAAAAATTTTACTATAGCTCAAGCATACAATAATTAATCCACCATAAAAATTCCATCACAATTGGACCATAGAAACTGCAGTTATGAATTAATTACAAAAAAGCATATATCTAAAGCTACAGCAAAAAAAATTACTAAAGCATACCATATTATATGTTCACCGTGTAGATCTACTCATGTGTAGTGCAACAAAATTAGATTTTTCATTTTATGATTTTTTCGTGATTTACTATGTTTTTCAAAAATTCAGCTAAAATAAATAAATAAGAAAAAGATAAAACCTCATTTGAAAACAGCTTATAACCGTCTAAAATGAACGGTTTTAAAAGTTTAGAGAGGTGATTTATTCGGTTTTAGAGTTTACGGAGAAAAGGCAAACTTTCGTAAAAGTTGAGGAGCTAATGTGGGCTTTTTCCAAAATTGGATGACCTCGGAGCTGAATTGAACTTTTCCCGGAAACCAGGCCTGGCCAAAACTGAGGAACCTTCCAGCCCAAAGTTTCTCTCAAACAAAAACAACGGCTCGGGCGCACACCGAAAACCAAACAGGCCAACAAGTACTACAGTACACTGTACTTCGGCGTCCCCTGGGCGAATATCTCGAGAATGATTCTGTTCCCACATCCCACCGCAGAAAAGCAAGTCCATACCCACATAAAACAAGCCCGCCCGTCTCTTTCGCCACCCCAAGACGCCCGACGCCTCTCCTTCTCCTCTCCTTCCCCATCCGCCCATCGCCCCTCCCCTGCGGTCTGCGCTCCCACAGCCTCACCCCTGCGCTCTCGCCGATCCGCATCGCCCGTTATTGGAAGGAACGATGGAGCAGACCTTCATCATGATCAAGCCCGACGGCGTCCAGCGGGGCCTGGTAATCTCATCTGCTTCTTCCTTTTCCCCGTTTTCCGTAGAAGAGTCTGATATAGGAGTCCCGTTCGCGGGGACAAGTTTTGGTTTCGTTTGGGTTCCAGAGACTTTGTTGATCCCGGCGGTTTGATGTTTGTTCACGGGGACGAGTTTTGATTTCGTTTGGGTTTCCGCGTCATGTTTCATGTTTGGTGCGCAGTTTTTAACTGGCAGTTCTGTGCAGATCGGGGACATCATCAGTAGGTTCGAGAAGAAAGGGTTCTATCTTAAAGGTATGGCTGTTTCTTTTTGTTCTCCAATTGATTGCTGGACCTCATACTCTGTTTCATTTCTGTTACATTTCCTAGTTATACACATGAACTTGCCTGCTGATTAGACAAAGGTTTCATCTGCGTATTCTGGATTTCTGGTGATATCTTTAATTTGTTCGATGTATCTATGTTGGGTTGCATTTTTTTTGTGAAAATAGGTGTTAGGCCGGTATGATTGCCATCTGAAAAAGGATGTTGGTCATGAAAGTAGGCCTGTCCAGCTTACCCCATATTCGGTTTTGGCTTTTTTTTTTTAGCCGGAACAGCGTTTTTCTATCACAATAATTCAGCTGGGACAGTGTTTTTCAGCCAGTTTCAGTCAAGTTTCAGACCAGCGAACGAGATCATGTGGAGATTTGATTTGATTAAAAACCATTATTTTTCTGTCACTAGCCCATGATGGCATCTCCGTTCGCGTGCCCAACCCGTTTGATCCGTTTCTTTTTTTTTATGTGGAATAGTGTTTTTCTCTCATAAATTCCTTCAGATTGATCCAAAACCATCCAAATTTCTCCAAATTCCTCTCAACAAACGGGGCCATAATTGATCCCTTTTTATCTGGGCAGCTGATCGTCGGTACTCTGGAATTAAGTTCAGCTGCTGTTGCATTATTATAAAGTCTAATCATGAATTAGACCAACCACAGGTCAGGACTATTGTTAAAAAAATGAAGATACTAGGATAAATGTTGGACGTGGAAGCAGGAATATTGTGTGCGGATTTGATACGATTGAAAACCATTATCTTTCCATCACTAGCCCATTGGTTGGCCCCTTTTTACCTGGGCAGCTGATGGTCACAGTAATCTGGAATTAAGTGCCTGCTGTTGCGTTGTAAATTCTACTCATGAATTAGATCGATGGACCACAAATCAGCACTATTGTTTTTTTTTAAACAATGGCAGGAGCTTTGCCTTTCAATTAAGACAAATAAAGTTTATATACAAGCAAAGGTAACCAAGCGTGGTGCCAAACACCGCGAAAAGTTAGCCCACCCACGCAACGCGGTAGAGTACACACTACCATGAGTCATCGTTACCGAGCGTGGTTGCAAAGCAGCCAGCAGCTCCGACTTCCCATGGCAAATACCGACGACCCATCCTAAGATTTCAGACCAACGGGCCCGAAGCAGGAGGCTGCAACAGGTCATCGTTGCCAAGCTCAACGGCTCCGCGAAGAGCCGCTCCGACTTCCTGCCTTGATCCCACGCCCCGCCCGCGGCGATTGCCGAGCCTCTAAAGCTGAAACCCAGCCGTCGGAGAAGGAGGGTTCGACCTGCGCCATCGTTGCCGAGCTACATCCCCTGATGCAGCAGCTCCGACTTCCCGATGCAGAACTCACCGTCTCGCGTCAACCGGGCGCCGAAGAGGCAGAGGACATCCGCCGAAGGAGACATCACGGCCGAGACGAATTTCCACAGCGATGCCTTCAGGAAGGATACGACGCAGACAGCGCCGCCGTCGCTTGTCCAGGAATGGACCGGGTTTCCACCCGTGGAAGACATGGCTGGGGGCACAAGAACACGACGCCCCCAACAAGGAAAACGGCGCCCACAGGCGTCGCCATCACCAAGGCTTTCGCCCGAGGTGCCCCTAGCACAAACGTCGAACCAAGATGCCGTACCGTAGTCTGTCGCCACCGTCGTCGTCACCGCCATCCTGCAGAAGCCCCTCCAGAGGGGCTTCGGCGCGCCGGTTGCTCACAGCAGCCGCACAGCTGCGTCGGCCGCCACCTCCTCCGATCGGGCAACATGCAGAGGTGGACTTACCCTGCCATGCGCGTCACCCTGCCGCACGCCGAAGCCGTCGCCAGCCGTCGTCGCCGGCACAAGCACCCGCCGTCGACGCTGCCGACCTCCGCCAGCCTCAAAAAAATGATTCTAGGATATGGATTCCAAAAGCAGATATTCCTGACTGTATGCTCTGAATGTTGAAACTACGTCACCATTTATGCCTTTCATCAGGTTTTGAACATTCTCTTTCCGTTTCAGCATCAAGGAAATTTATAGAGCACAACAATATATTATATATAACAAAAGGCAATCAATCCTTGGCCAGTCGTTATATTGATATTATGTGTATCCTTGCAGGGATGAAGTTTATGAATGTGGAGAGGTCATTCGCACAGCAGCACTATGCTGACCTTTCTGACAAGCCCTTCTTCCCTGGGTTGGTGGAGTACATCATTTCTGGCCCTGTCGTCGCAATGGTGTGGGAGGGGAAGGACGTTGTATTGACTGGCCGCAGGATCATTGGGGCCACTAGGCCTTGGGAGGCAGCCCCTGGTACCATTCGTGGGGACTATGCTGTGGAAGTTGGCAGGTGAACATTCCATTCTTTGTAATTAATTGTACTTCATTGCGACAATTTTAGTTTAATAGCTTTGCTGCTATTGAAGTCAACCAGTCCTTGTCTTGGCAATTTTCTAGTTCAGTCTAAATAAACGTGTGGTTTATGAATTCAACCAAGGTCAATCAAATAAGATGACTCGAATAATCCATGTGAGCGATGATATGCTCCATTCTGAAATACTTATTGAAGCACTATTGTTTATTTGTGTTTATTGGGGAAAAAAAAGAACATAGAGGCAAATAATGCCGGCTGCTTGTGATGATAAATGGTTTGTTTAGAGTAAGAAGTGTTATGATCTCTGGTACATGTCACATCATGCAAAACTAGTCTCGATTGTGTGGTCTTACTGAAAAATAAAATCATGGTTGCTGGATCTCTGCAAGTGTGCTCCTGTACTAAATCTGTCACCTCTCGTATAGGAATGTCATCCATGGAAGTGACTCCGTGGAGAACGGAAAGAAGGAGATCGCTCTCTGGTTCCCTGAAGGTCTGGCTGAGTGGAAGAGCAACCTTCATCCCTGGATCTACGAGGCTTGAGCAGTTGAGCTTCGCGGTATTGGTACTGGATGCCTGCTTCCATGAAAACCGAGTTTTGTTTGAGTTATCTATTGGCTCTGGCTATAGAGTCATAATTTCGTGCTTTGTGCTACATCGTAGTTAAGTCTGCCCGAACTTATGTGGCATTTGAGTTTCTGCCTTTGTGCTCGGTTTAATGTACTGTGATTGTGAACCAACTAATGTGATCTGAAATAAAACTTGCATGCCAAGTTTGTGTTCTATAACTGTCAGGTCACTGCGATTATACTTGCTTTAAGCGCTAGAAGCTTGAGGATCCTGCCTGGTTTGATGCACTGTGAATGTCAAGCAACTAATGTGATAATAAGCCTTCGGCCAATCTTTTCCCCCCGAATTCTAGATCAGTGTAATTTCATTTGCTTTTCGAACAGTTTTGACACGCACTGTTGCTCGTCTTCATTTCACATATATATGAGGTCTCTGAATTGAAAGGGAATTGTGAACATACAGAACAAAATTTCAGATAGCAAGTCGTGCGTAGTAGTGTAGACTTTGGTATAGGTAATCAAACGAATCAAACACCTTGGTGATGGGTGCAAGATAGCATGTGCAAGGGCAATAAGCTGGTCATCTTAATAAAGCAGAGGGCCCAGCATGCAACCATGGTAAGCAATGACCGCTCAAAAAAAATTGTCATCTCTACCAATAAGACTCGTTGACGTGTCTTGTGCATGCTCTCTTACTCCTGGGTCACGGCATGCAACCATGGTTCACTTCCCCCACCACACCACACCGGTGGACGTGTCTTGTGCATGCTCTCTTACTCCTGGGTCAGGAACATGTGGCTCAAAACCTCCACCTTTCCAGACCTGTAATTCTCACGGCAGTCAAATGGCCGCATGGCACTGCGAGTTCCCCGACCCCAACTCCTGTTTGTCATCGCCGCCGTCGCCATGGCACTGGCCACCGCCATGATCTCTTCTCCACAGCTCCGGTACTGCCCCTCTCCTCGAGGTAGGCGTCGTCGGCGTGGACGCCACAGCCCCGCAGCGGCTACCGTGGCCGCCTCGGCGACGCCGCGGTCGGAGGAGAACATCGTCATCGTCGGCGCAGGCGTCGCGGGGCTAGCCACGGCGGTCGCCCTGCGCCGGCTGGGCGTGGGCGCCGCCGTGCTGGAGCAGGGCGACGCCCTGCGCGCGGGCGGCACGTCCCTGACGCTGTTCAATAACGGGTGGCGCGTGCTGAACGCCATCGGCGTCGCCGACGAGCTCCGGTCCAAGTACCTCCGCATCCAGGGGTGCGTTCCTCTTCCCTCTTGTTGCGTTCAACTTCAACCTCAACTCAAGCTGCCGTCGTTGCTCCGCTGCGTTCATGGATCGTTGTGTGTTCTGAGCTGCACTGTGAGGTTCCAGCTGACCGCAGGATGAGGATGCGATCGCCGGCGGCGGGCGGGCGGGACCTGCGCGAGTTCTCCTTCGAGGAAGAAGCTCCCGGGTACTGCAGTTTCCATCCCCTGATGAGCATCGTGAATGAATGCATGGCTTCAAGTATGTAGTAACTGGGAAGCTGCTGCTTCGATTGCTTGGCACATTTGGCAGACAGGAGGTGCGCGCGGTGGAGAGAAGAGTGCTTCTCGAGACGCTTGCTTCTAAGCTGCCACCAAGCGCCATATCGTTCTCATCGAAGCTGAAATCGATTTCAGAGCAAGGGCGTGCAGGCACCCTGCTCGAACTGGAAGACGGGAGGCAAATTCTCTCCAAGGTGAGTGAGAGAACTAACAATTCTCGTGCAGTTTTGAATTTCGATTCACCAAAACCGAACAACGGAACAAGCTTGGTTTTGATGTTTTTTACATACGAATGAAAAGAACTGCCTCTGCCTGTCTGCAGATTGTGATCGGCTGCGACGGAGTGAACTCGCCCATCGCGAGGTGGATGGGCTTCTCGGAGCCCCGGTACGTCGGGCACATGGCGTTCCGGGGCCTCGCGGAGTACGCCGACGGCCAGCCGTTCGAGCCCAAGGTGAACTACACATCTACGGCCGAGGCGTCCGTGCCGGTTTTGTCCCCGTCTCCCCAACCAAAGTCTACTGGTTCATCTGCTTCAACAGGCCAGATCCAGGTACTGTATATCTCCTATCTCCTAGGAGAACCCCACTAGCAGATTTCTCTGCAATTTCACGAAGCCACGTCCATCAAGCTATTAAGTCAAGCAATGTGTTCCCGTGCGTCCCTTCACATCCGCATAGAAAACGCAGACAAAGCTATCGCAGGAAGCCATTATGTCGGGCCCTTGCACTTCACCTTCTGCACGTTCGGAGCCAGGAACGATTCCGCTTCACCTTCTGCACCTTCCTTGCGCTTCACCGGCAACATATAAAATGAAAACGCATCTAGATCAGCCTCAATTCTTCCTGGCTCCTCGACTGCATCGCTCCGACGTCGAGTTGCTCGGCCAATTGGATCTCTTCCTGGATCTCCGGCTGCATCGCTACGATTTTGAGCTGCTCGGCCACCAGGACCGCGGCCATCCCCGAGAGGCCGAGACGGAGCCTGCGGCAGGGCCCTCGGGGGAGGCCGAGGAGGCTGCGCGGGAGCAGAGGCCGCGACCAGGGCGGATGCGGCCAGGGCCAGCGCACGGGAGATCAAGGCCACGTATCGCCGTCTGGTGCTTGCCGTCCATCGTCGGACGCCGCCCCACCACCCGCCTCCTTCCGACGAGGTCTTCATCTGCGCCCATGGCTTGCTCGAGCTTGACGCTCTCCGACCCTAACAAGCGCGCGGCTACGACTGCCTCCTCCTCTCCGCCGCCGCGAGGTGAAGGCTCTTCGCCGAGATGTTGGTAAGTGGAATGGATTGGTGCGGCAGTAATCGGAGGAGAAGCGGCGGATACGGTGCAGGAGATAAGGGACGAGTGGATAAAAAGACATCCGCGCATGGTGCGTCCAAGCATGACTCATGAGGACAGTCGACTTCTTTTTTTTTTAAGGGTACGGTGGCATTTTTTAGGGAGCGGATGGATTGTGGGCCCTCAGTCCCTCACTTATATATATATATATATATATGTTGTGCAGTTTTTTTTTACTTTTAATACGAGTATCGGCTCCATATGATCTCTGCTAACTATCATGTTTCTACTCAGAAGTATACATTAGTCTGACGCACGCGTATACGTGAGCTCCAATGCTTATGATAGCCAGAGTATTGTCGAGTTTCATAATACTATTTTTTTACCTGTCTTATTTTTGAACTAAATGGTGATAATATTGTACAGTGGTTTTTAAAAAGTAGACCTGTAAGATAATTGTTACTTTTTATCATATTCACGCTATTATCCATTTTATATCCAAACTTATATTTAACTCTTACATCTAACGGCAACACTCGTGTGATGTTAGATGGTACTATCAATTCTTCATGCATAATTTTTCTCACGTTCCGCTGCAACGCGCCGGGTATCTAGTTTATTCAGACAACAAATGCCAGGGTTGCTCAGATGAAGGTTTGTCCCAGGAAAACGGCATCACTCGCTGACATTAATGGCGCGGATGGTTCTGGTGTTGTTGGCAGGGCCTAAGATCACCAACCCCGCGGCGCTCAAGAGCGAGGCGCTGGAGCTCGTCCGCGGCTGGCCATCGGACCTCCTGGCGGTGATGCGCAGCACGCCCGAGGGCGCCGTGGTGAGGACGCCGCTGGTGGACCGGTGGCTGTGGCCCGGGCTGGCCCCGGCCGCGTCGAGGGGCGGCCGGGTGGTGCTGGCCGGCGACGCGTGGCACCCCATGACGCCCAACCTCGGCCAGGGCGCCTGCTGCGCGCTCGAGGACGCCGTCGTCCTGGCTCGCCGCCTCGCCGACGCCGGCGGTGCCGGCGCGGACGGAGCCCAGGCCCAGGCTGCCATGCGCGCGTACGAGGCGGAGCGGTGGGCGCGCGTGTTCCCGCTCACGGCGCGCGCGGGGCTGGTGGGCGCGCTCGTGCAGTGGGAGAACGCGGCGGTGTGCGCGGCCCGCGACGGCGTGGTCATCCCGAGGCTCGTCAGGCTGGGTCCGTTCCTCGAGCACACCAATTTCGAGTGCGACCTGCTCGAGCCGGCGCCGCAGTCGACATGAGACAGACGTGCACACCAGCTTTCTCCTGTACATCATTGCCCGACTCTGCTGATTCACACTAGTAATTAGTAGTATATTAACCTCAGATTGGCATGTGCTCCCTCCGTTCCAAGATGTGTCTACAGATATCTGAATTATCTATACGTTTGATCCTTTTCTTACCTTGATTGAGATAATAATGTAGGCCTTCAGCTATCTGAATTCCAGTCGAACTGTGAATGACAGTGGATCTGCAAAGTCGACCTAGATAGCATCAGGAGCGATTCAGAGTCTGGCACGCAGCATCCTTGAGCTCTCTCACTGTGAAGGAAAGTTCTTACAAAATCTGAAAGCACAGCGAATATGTACCCCTTCGCTCTGTCCTTGATTCTGTGCAGACATGAGAACAAGGCAAGCATTACAATATATATAGGCAAATTTTGCAATAGCGCATCAAACATACGTGGTATTGGCAATTTCACACCGCATGCACTGAAATATATGCCATGTATCATTATGAAGGTGTGGATCTTTGCTGCAGCAAACCAGCAAAGAGCTTCCGTTTATTTATTTATTTTTGGAAACTAAGAGCTTCCGTTGGTGAGAAAACCGTTCATCAGTCATCACTGAGAAACCGCTCGCTCGGGAAATGGATCGGAGTTGCTTAGCGCCCGGAAGTCCGATCCGGGCGCTTAGCGTCAGACAGTGCAAATTCCCGCTGAAACATTAATATGTGAATAAAAAAATCTCACACCTCACCGTGCTTATCTGTACGCCCACCCCGATGCCTTACTCGCCCCATCCACGCACACCGCCACCATCTCCATCCGTTCGCCCCGCCCCGTCGTGTCCCCGACCGCCGGCCACTGGCTCGCCGCGTCCCATTCCCCGGCGCCTCCTGACTCTCCGAACAGCATGAAACACATGCAACATAAAACACTTGAATGCAACATACATCTGAAATAGATGAAACATCTGCAACATATGTGTGAAAACATATGCAACATCCATATAAAACACTTACAACTTGCAGCATGAAAACACTGGCTGCAATAGAAGACTGAAACAGATGAAACATTTTGGAAATAATGTTGCAACATATGTGTGAAAACGTATGTAACATCCAGATCAAATCAATTGCAACATACATCTGGAAACAGATGAAACATTTTGAACAAGTGCTTGCAACATGCCTCTAAAACACTTGCAACATATGCAACATCCCCCGATCTACTTTTGCAACATCCATATGAAACAATTGCAACATCTATCTGAAACACTTAGAAACATACATATGCAACATAGGGGAGGGGAAGGCTAGGCCGGTCGATTTCGGTCATTGGGGTCGGAGACGGCGGCGAGCGGCTGCGCACGAGCACCACCGCCACCACCGCCACTAGTACCGGGCTTGGCTCGGCGGCGACGGTGGGGGATGGGGGGCGAGGAGTGCCATGGCCGCCAGGTGGGGGGAGCTCGGTCGCCGGTGTGAGAGAGGGCGTCACCGGGGGTGGGGAGGACGCCACACCGGAGTGGGGGAGAGAAGCCCACTCCCCTGCAACACCGCCACGCCACCTCCATAGATCTAACTCGTGCTACATGGATCTCGCCAGGGTTGAGGAGAGCGCCACCGGATTTGTGGCATTGGGTTGAATTTGTTTTTTTTATTTAGGCGTGCGGCGCGTGCGGCACTGAGGTAAAGTTGTGGTGCACGTCACGCCACGCATCCGGAGGGGAGTCGCTGGCATCAGACGTCCTATTTGTAGCATTACCGAAAACCAATCCGTGCAGTAGCAGGAGCTAGCACTACACCTGATCTCTGTGCGTGATTATTTGGAGAGTTATTTGAGTAAAAAATCACTTTTTATATATTTGTACCCTTAGTTATTTATCTTGTGCAGACTCTATAGAGCCAAATAGATGAGTAACCTCATATGATAACTTGTAACATAATGGACGTTAATATGCAAAGACACCTTGTTTAGGTCCAGGGTATCTTGTGCGCATTCTATAAAGTCACCCTCCCTCTCCATCTTTGGCTAACGAGAAATCGGGAAAATTTACATTCCTATAAACTAAATTATTATGAAAGGGATATTCTAGCACAATGGCCAAACAGATGGCAACCTCAGACAGACAACTCGGAACATGATGGACGTTGACCTGCAAAGACACTTTGTTCAGGTCCAGGGTATTGGTGTTGCAAAACTGAAGACTGAAGATTGTAATGCGGTCGAGGCGTTACGATTTGCGAGCTTCCGTTCATGATGTGGAACCAGATAGAAAACCGTGAGCTTGTTCGGCTGATGGGGTTTTTACAGCTGATAAACCGACTGCAGTTGTTTTTTTGTTGTGAGAGAAAAACGTTGCACCATGTCCTTTCGCCACCCGTGTCATGTCTTAGAGCAATACATAAAGCAGGGAAAAAAAGTTACTTTTTGAAAGTTAAGTTTTTTTATATCACACCGCCGTGGCGTCATTGCAATGACACACCCCTCACATTGTACTTGTACATCACCCCAGCGCAATGGGGAAGATCCGAAGATTCAACTATTTACATCGAATGCTATACCGGGATCTGGCAGTTTTGCCTTGCGGCAATACATCTGCAACAACGCTCCACCTCTCCGTTTGCATCTGTACCATCTGTTGTTCAACCGAAGAAACCTGAACAACATCTCCGAGTTGTATTGTATACACCTCCGAATTCGTATCGCGAACTCGTGCCCCTGTCATGTACACGCGCTGCGGTCATGTGCTGCCCCTCAGCCTCTCCAGTCTCTCCAGGTAAGACCTGAGCCAGGCAAACTCGTGCCTCATCTTCTCCATGTGCGCCTCCGCTACCTGCATCTCCTCGCTTAGTAAGCTGAGGCGCTTCTGCACCCACTCCATGCTTTCTTTGCTGTACCCTAAACTGCCCGTGATCCCATGAGGAGCCATTTGGACCTGGGGGGATCTAGTTAGCAGAACTATGATGGTCACCTGCAACAGAAGTATGTGTCAGAATGGTTGGTAGTCAGAGGATGATTCACTGATCATTTTCATCATTTCATGCCATTGGTTATGTTCAGATATTTTTCAGTTGAGGTTTATTCAGCATAACAAACTGCATAAAATCCAAAAAACTTGCCTGCATTAGGATAATGATAGCCACCAGTACCACTGCTAGTACTGGACCAAGTTGGCTCGATCTCATGTATGACGTTAGTGAACCCCACAATTCTTGTGAAGTGGACACGATGGAAGAATCTCTCCCTGTTCTCTGCTGGTGATCTTGAATAGGAGGAATGAGGCTTCTCGCACCAGATTCATCCTGTGAGGAACTCACCACTGGAACTTGTACTTCCACGGTATTTTCCTCGTTTGTTGTAGCCCCTGGTTGAACACCAGAATCAGCTGTGCTGGAGGTGCCTGTAAGAATGGATGGAAAAAATAGCTATTTAATTGCTTCATAACTTAGCGTTTGCAGTGAAAGGGGATGCGGTTCATATAGAGAAAAGTTGGAACTGCAGCAACTCTTTGACTGAACCGTGAAGTACAAATTACCTTTTGATCGATCATATTCCTGCTTCAAAAGATCATGACCCTAAAAACATGAAATGAGAAAAGATTATATACACCTCCAAATGGACAGTAGCACTGAGAAATATTTTCAAGTATGAGAATAGACGTACAAGCTTAATCCAGAGACTGAAAACTTCACGGCATTCATCTTTTGTTGACTGCTCTATTTTTCCTGTGATTTAGAGATTTAAAGAATATAAGCAGTGATGCCATACGTTCTAAATAAATGGTACTATATATGATTCGGGTGTTGGAATAAACTAATTGCACAAACATACAGACGCCATGATAATAAATGATGAGAATAGTACTTTCTTTAAGCCTGGCAAGGGGCTCAGACAAGGTGACCCCCTGTCACCCCTTCTATTTAATTTAGTTGCTGATGTGTTTTCTAGAATGCTTATGAAAGCAGCTAGGGCAAATCTTATTTCGGGCCTGTTACCTCAGGTTGAATCTGGGGGTATTATCAGTCTACAGTATGCCGACGATACCTTACTTTTTTTGGAGGATGACCTCACTAAAGCTGCAAATCTGAAATGGATGCTGGTATGCTATGAACAGTTATCTGGTATGAAGATAAATTATGATAAGAGTGATCTTTTAGTAGTTGGGATGGAGGAGGATAGAGCTAATGAATTTGCTAGAATTTTATGTTGTAAGAGAAGTAATTTCCCAATCAAGTATCTAGGGGTTCCCCTGCACTTTGCTAAGTTGAGAAGAGAAGACCTACAGCCCATAACTGATAAGATAGTGAAGAGGATTGCTGGCTGGCGGGGGAGGCTCCTGTCTTATGCAGGGAGACTGACCCTTCTTAAGACCTGTTTGGCCAGCATACCGATTTATCTCCTCTCCATTATTAAGTTTCCTAGATGGGCCATAGACATGATTAATTCCCATATGGGACACTTTCTGTGGAACAATACTGAAGACCACCACAAATACCATCTAGCTAGTTGGCAGTTGGTGTCCCAGAAAAAAGAAATGGGTGGCTTTGGCATCCCTGATTTACGGAGTTTGAATTTAGCTCTTTTAAGTTCCTGGATCTTTAGATACCATTTGAATACCAATTCGATTTGGACTAGGATAGTTGATTATAAGTATAAGACAAAAAAACCCAATATATTTTGCTGTCCTGATGTTGGATCCTCACCTTTTTGGAAAGGTGTGATTTGGGCTATACAGGCTGCCCATATGGGTATCAGGTGGTTAGTCGGAAATGGGGAAAAAATTCGGTTTTGGGAAGACCAATGGTTTGGTAATACCAGTCTGGCGATCATCTATTGGTCATTGTATGTTATAAACGAACAGCAAGGTAAATCCATTCAGGAGGTCTGGGATGGTGAGGAGCTTAAGCTCTCTTTTAGAAGGAATGTGTCTGAAAGTCTTATGTCTCTTTGGGAAGAACTGAGAGCTATTGGAGAAAGTGTTGCCCTCACTAATGAGGAGGACCGAATCATATGGAGTTTTAACTCTAATGTGCGGTATTCTGTCCAGTCCTTGTATGCTGTGATTAACCATAGAGGAGTAGTTCCAGTCTTTGTGCAGGCTGTCTGGAAACTCAGTATACCACCAAGGGTGCAAATCTTCCTGTGGTTACTTTCTAAGAATAGATTGTTAACTAGAGATAACCTTGCTAAACGTAGAGAAGTCAATGACCCCTCTTGTTTGTTTTGCTCTGAGAATGAGTCAATTGTGCATCTGTTTTTTGATTGCTGTGTAGCCACAAATGTTTGGCAGTATATATCTGATTTGCTAAATGTGAATATCAGGAAGGATTTTGAATCTGTAGCTGCCTTGTGGTTAGCCAATAAAAAACACTTGATCACTAACATTGTATCTTCTGCGGTTTTATGGGTGCTTTGGAAATTACGGAATCTATTGTGTTTTCAGGGAGTAAGTTGGAGTGGGCTAAAGAAGGTGCTGTCTATGACTGGAAGAATGCTGAGAGGGTGGCTACCCATGTTCAAGCCGGTTGTCCAGGAGAAAGTGGAGTTTATCATTCAACAAGTGGAACACGAAGCAAGCTTGGCGCCGCAGATCAGTTGGAGGCAGGATTCATTAGAGTTGGCACAATCAGATGCTCAGCCTTCGGAGGTCTTAAGCGATGTGATCTGGGATCAATGTAATAGGCCTAGTAGTTTCGGCTGTGGACCTGGTTAAACTCTAGTTTCGGCAGCTTGGCTGCTTTTGTTGGTTTTGGCGGCTTGGCTGCTCTGTGCGCGATGGTGCCTAACTCTGTACTGAATTGTTGTTCGCTTTACATCTATAAAGCGAGGGAAACCTTTTATTCAAAAAATACAGACGCCATGATAGCAAAATTCGAGCATGGAATCTGATCCACGATAAACAACATCTGCAAGAGTCTCTACATCAACTCCGTTCTATTCATAGTGATACAATCCCTAGAACTAAGCCCCTCAGTTTCACTGAAAATAGCACGGCAATCCAAAGAACCAACTTGGCCAAATCAAGTATATGACATATTGAACTGCAGGGGGGGAGGGGCTCCACTTACTAATAATAACTGCTTGTGTCATTTGTACCCAGGTAACCATTACTTTGTATGTTTTTCCAACTATGCGACTAAAAAACAGTAAATACATAAATAAAAATGTGCACCATTGTTGTGGAAATATATAGAGCTGATATAAGTTGTAACCCTAGGGGTTTCCCTGGCAAATTATGTTTTGGTTTATCAACACATGAGCTGAAACTTAACATAAAAAGCATAGCTTGTAAGATTCAGGCACCAGGTTAAGTTGGCCTAACTCAAATTAACAAACTTTCTCGCAGAAACTAGAGTTGGTAGGGGGTTAATTCTGAAGGCATGCAAAAAATGGGCCCTAAGAATATTGAGGACATTTTGAAAGTGCCGGGAGGATCCAGGATACAAGGATGCAGGATAATTCCAAATATCGTTCTCGCTAGAGCATTCAGGATACAATGGATGTAAATTACCTCTAAATATCGTTTTCTTTGAGAAGGCTACATTAATATATATCCTGAGGTCACAACAGTTCTCATCTAGGCTATCCTGTTCGACATCCCAGATGCCCTGAAGGTAAAAATAAGATCAAACAAGAGTTAAGGGCTTAAAGCTAAGAGCAAATCAATGTTAATATGGCATATAACAACAGAAGTTGATACTTGACAGAAGCAAAATGAAAAATCATAAATGCATTATTTTCCATTGTACACAAAAAGGAAATTCCAAGCTAGATAAAAACCAACATTATAAACAGCATTTGGATTACTCACCTCTACAGTGAAATGGTCCCCATATGGGGCATCACCTATTGACTGAGAGGTTTGAATCATTAGATGCCTACAAAGAAGTGAAGGAAGTTAATTGCAGGGAGCTGTAACATCAATTATTCTTCGGAAGGGAAACATTGCTACAAGAAACAAGCATGCGGCAGATTGAACCAATGTTTTCAAGTCGTCCAGTCGAACCTAGTCGCCATGGGACCGACTAGGACGATTAATCACGATTAATCGCGATTAATCGGACGACTTGTACAAGTCGACGGTACCCCTAATCAGTCAGCAGGGACCGATTAGGACGATTAATCACGATTAATCGCGATTAATCATGATTAATCGGACGACTTGAAAACATTGGATTGAACAGAACTAGCAACAGATTACTGCTCGGACTAAAATCCAAACATAAGAAATTAAGGCATGAGTTTTGTTCAGGTACAGAGCTAAGTTTGATAAAACCAAGTAACCAACAAACAGGGCGTACCCAGTGCAGAGAGCTCCCGCTCTGTACGGGGTCTGGGGAAGGGTGTCAGTGGCAAGCCTTACCCTCGCCTGTGAAATGCGAGGAGACTGCGACTCGAACCCGGGAAGGGTATTGCATAACATGTACTTCAAATTTTGCAATGCTACATAATGTTAATCTGAAAATTGTTAATTTGAATACTCTAACCCTTTGTTTATCATTTTGTAACAGGATGGTCCCTCCCACGCCGCACCAGCTGATCCCCCTTCTTGATGTGGAGTATGACGACCCCCTTCTTCTACCGGACGACGAGGTTTTATTACGTCGTGGGACTTAGTTCATTACGTCGAACTTATGTCAAACGAATATTCTCGTCGAAAACTTGTAGACTCATAAATAATGAAAATGTTGTATTGCAACTTATCGTCAATTTATTTGCGTACCGACTTGTAGTTTTATACAGAGCAACCGACAACGACTCAATTGTTTTGAAGTCGTGGTGCCGCTCAATCATCATCGCATCACTACCGCGCGCCATGGGATCTCGGGGCACTAACGCGCCATGTACTATGGTAGCGGCGCACGCGACAACGCCGTGAACTATGGTAGCGCATCATAGACGCGAACCTGGTCTATGGCACGGCAAATAATTACGTTCGTTTTAGAAATTTTGAACGCATGATACATCGAGTAGTTCAAAAGAAATATAAGACAACACAATAGAATTTGTAGTACATACCTACATTGATCATTAATAAAGCATGGAACTAACAGACGGGGCAATCAAAAACCCTCAGTCAGAAACATACTGAGTAAGCAACTCGTCGTCGAAAGTACCAATCCAAAAAACCACAACCTTCTTTGTTGTTGTTAGGCTCACTGCGTTGCTTCGACCTACCTATCGCTTTGTAGTAAGCGGCCTCCGCTTCATCTCAGAGCAGCATTGGCTCTGAGTGAAGAACGCGTCATCATCCTACTCAGCCTGTAAGCCCACCTCTGCTAGAGTGATGAGCTCGCTCAGTCTGCCAGTGTCGTCCTCATCCTCCTTTGCTTGCATGCCCGCCTCTGCTAGGGCGATGAGCTCGCTCAGTCTGCCAGTGTCGTCGTCATCATCCTTCGCCTGCATGCCCGCCTCTGCTAGAGCAATGAGCTCACTCAGTCTGCTAGTGTCGTCCTCATCCTCGTCCCCCTCATCAGACAACACAATCGGTGATTGAACGGTGCGACTAGCTCGCGATCCATGCTCATCTAACTTCTTTTCCTCATACCTTGCACGAGCCACCTCTGCGGCATGATCCTCGCTGCAACCAATCCCTTCATGTATAAAATGCAATCAGTTAGCAACGCGATTATATTACATTTAAAATCAGGCAACGAAAAAAAGACGTTCAAGCACTCACTGGCACATAATGCAGCAACATGCTCGTTCAAGACCTGCATCTGTACTCTTGTCTCCTCCCTTGCCTCCTTTCTTGCCCTCTCCTCCTCTAACGTCATCCGCCTCTCCAATCCCCATTTGTTAAGCCCAACATCGATCGGGTTACAAATACCACGCTGTCTAGCAAACTCACGCATCTTTTCTTTGTGATGTTTAACGAATAGGTTGACGTAGTCATGTCCATATCCCCTCTTCCGTGCAATTAGTTGCCTCTTCTTCAGTTCATCCAAGAACTGAGCTTGATCATCGTAACGTTCCCATCTACATTTCCTAGTGCTCTGTTCAAAAGAAATATTATATCATATATGTCTTATCAAAAGAAACAAAATGTGATTTCATGTTTACCACAAAAATAACGAACCTCTTCGTACTGAACCATATGGCCGCAATAATGGCCTATTCCAAGCTTCGAAGGGACTAGGCCATAGTTTGAATTAACATCACATTTGCACTTGACTGGTGGTGCTTTGTAAATTAACCTTTTTTCTTCTTTTGTTTTGCTTTTGGAGGTTCTTCGGGCCATTTGTTATTAGGACCATACAACCACTCCTTGAAACGACACTTCGACATTGAATGCACCTAAATAACGTGACATTAGTACATGAACACATATAGCTAAAGATTTCAACACATACACTTTGCACTTACTTCATGCTTGTTTGGACACACAAACTCCAACGTATTGTCAGGGTTTATCACAGCTCGATCTCCGCAATAGCACCAAGGAGGTTCCTCGAGTCGTCTAACTGCAGCTAGGTGCTTCTCCTTAGCCGTCATTGGTGGAGGGTTAGGGGGGTGGAACCCACCGCTTGAAGCGCTCACGGGGATTTCTCCCCTAAACCAATCGTCAAAAAGGAGTTACCTAGGATCAAACTTGTCTACACCGTCGATCCACTGAAAGAAAAAACACCTCTCATGGCCCTACAAAACAAAAATTCAACAAAATATTAGTAATCTCGTAATACAAATGAAGAAGAAAAAGATAGTAGAAACAATTACTTACATTAAAACAACTGCACGTGTAGAAGCAACGAGCCGCTATGTCGGGATGTCTCGATTGAAACACGTCGATTCAGACGACCATGAGTCACAATTAGGGATAGGGAGCTCGGGAGAGGACGGGGCATCTTTGCTAGACTCGTCTGGATACATTTCTCTAGGACGACCCCGTTTCGCCATAATCGCCCTGCTCCCGAAACATGTCTTCCATCTAATAAAACGGTTCAAAATAAACATAAGTCAAAACAACGCAAATTAATAAAAAATGTAATCATTCACAATGGAACTAAAATATTATAAACAATAATTATACCAACAAAAAAAATACATGGCAAACATACTTCTAACTAAATAATTAACCTTAACATTGACAAACTCAAACTTATATCTTCACCATAGTTCATAAATATAATTTTTCTGCTAACCTTAACTCCATTTATAATATCATATCCACCATTCAAACGAAAATAAAACGTGCGTAAGAACCTTAAACGGGATGGAGGCGGCGGAGAATGGAACGGAAGGAGGGAGGCGCGGCAATGGAGGGCGGCAGTTGGGGCTGCCACCGTTTGTGGCCTTGCGGCGGGCGGCGTGGTTAGCGACGACAGGCGTGTGCATGTGGCGGCTGACGGGCGGAGCGACGCTCTACGCTGCCTTGCTGCTCGGGCAGCGGGACTGGCGGCGCGGTGGTTATATTCGGCTCTGCCGCGCCACGGATCAGGTCGTGCCAAGATTGGTGGCGTGGCAGAGCCTTTCCACTTCAGCGGTCAGCGGTGATGGTCGCCGCCACATCAGGCCCTGCGCCGCGCGCCCCGTATATGGCGCGGAAGACGCAGACATTTGGCCGCGCCAGAGCAAAAAGACGTGGCCAAAAGTGTTAGTTAAAAAAACAACAGTGTTAGATTTAAAATTATATTAAAAAAAGGGTTAAAATTAAAAAAAAATCTCCAAGAACACCGCCGCACAGGCACGGCGATCAGCGCCTGGCGAGCCGCTGCCATCTCCACGATGGTCGACGACGTCGTCGTCGCCGCCGCCGCCTGAGAGTAGGCCCAGGGCCTGCGGGCGGAAGCGGCACATGGCCAACGCCCGCGGATACAAATAGGACGGGCGCAGGCTCGGGCGCTCGGCCAGGGTGAGTGCGGCATCGTCGTCACGGCACGGCACCGCGCCACGGGCCAGGCCGTCGCCGTCAAGTCCCTGCACCGCAGGAGCTGGGCCGCCGACGTCCTGCGCGAGACCTGCTTCGTGGCGGCCGGCGGGGGCCACCCCTCGCTCGTCGCGTTCCGCATGGCAGACCGCGGGGAACGGCCGTACCCGGAGGCCGAGGCGGGACGCATCATGCGGCAGCTGCTGGCCGGCGCCGAGGTGATGCACCGGCACGGCTGATCGTATTGTTCACAAGAAGAGCATGACTGATACGTCCCGACAGAAAAACATAAAAAAGAAAAGAAAAAAAGAACTGCAAAATCATTCGTTGCATGGTTGTGCAATCAAGAAAGATTACCAGAATATAACCTAAAATAATAAGAAAGATCTCAGTTTGCATATATTAGCAACTTAGATCACATTCAAAATAGTCAAAGCACGTATACTTGGTGTGTCTTCGATAGAACGAAGCCTGAAGAGCTGAAACGTTTAGATATCTTTAATTCCAAGCAATAGAGAGTCTCAATGCCATGGTGACAGGGAACGTAAAATATAGCTGGTTCTAGCGAGGATAAACACTAATCATGAGGTCTCACAAATTACTGAGAGTACTCTGTGTTGGAAGAGCCAATGATTGCGACTTCAGCCTCAATGCAACACTTGCCTTTGATGAGATAACCTTTTGATGCGTCCTTCAAATCCTCCAGCGAAATGAACTTATCCCATCCCCAGTGTAACACCCCAGGCCCGGTACACGGCCCAGGCCCACTCTACCGAGGGGGGTGGGCCCCACTTACGTAGTAACCCGCTTGCGTTTTCATCCTTGCTTCACGCAAAACGGTTAACCTAATATTACTACGCGTCCTTAGCCTGGCTATTTAAGTTGGTTCGGCGAACTCAAAATCCGCAGTATGGTTGTAAATTTTTTGGTTGCACAATGTGTCCGCAGCTACAGTACTCGGCGCTGCCGTACCCAAATTCAGCCCATCCCGATTCGTCGCTATAGCTACAG